TAGTACAGGTAGGCATTTAGTAAAGCTGGCCAAACACTTTGCTCAAATTTTTCATTTTAGGAATGTTCATTTGATTTTCAAATTGTTAGTGGAGTCAAATCGGCATTTGTTTTTTACTGCAGTGACAAGAAAATTCCAAAGAGTGGGATGGAAATTTTTTCCAAAACGAACAAATTTCTACAAATGAACATTTTTTTACCAGTGAATGTGTTTTTCATTTGGGAAAGTCCATTCATTCCAAAAGCAAACAAAAATTTTAAGTACTTTCAAACAACATTCATTGAGTCATCATAAGTACAAAATTTTACCTACTAGTGTATGGCCACTTTAAAGCTCTAATTTTGCTATGGGCTCTAAAGCATTGCTCCTGCTTTTACATGCAGGCTTTGGTAGAAAGAGTCAGCGCAAAACGGGCCCTTAGGTAGTTCGATTAGGAGAGGTGACCAATGTTGTTCAAAGGATAGGCACAAGTTGTCTGCTTTAGTAAAACATCCAATTACTTTATTTCACTAAATAAAACGAGGTTTATGGCTTTAAATTGCCACTCTCATTTCAAGGTGATACAACTGGTATCTGTGGATAAAAAGTTGTCATAGGGTACAATACGTATTTAACAACTCAAAAGCACAGTCTGAAAAACAGCAGTCATATATGCAAGGAGAAAATGTGAAAATAATAAAATGTAGCAGTCAGGAAGTTCCTCATATATCAAATATATCAGAGACAGCATAAGACTGGTATATAAATAATTTAATAAATGTAGCAGTGAAAGAGTCTCTAAAATATCAAACATATCATAGAAGGTACAAAATATATAATTATTACAATTATTTTTTTTTTTATGTGTTCCAGTGCATTTTTTTATGCATTCCAGTTAATTTTTCCCTTCTCTTTTTCTACAATGTAATTAGGGACATGTGCATTTTAGTGCATTCCAGGGCATTTTACCGCGTTCCAGTACAGTTCTATGCATAAACAATGCAGCCTGTTTGACTTTTTTTGGCAGCACCTGCAGCGCACTGGAACTGCAAGCACTGCTGTGAACTGACATTGACAAGCATATAACCTTTCTATGCGTTTTGGATGCAGAAAAAGCAACTGAAACACATGTAGTGTGAACTGGCCCTAAAGGTTATTATAAGTAAGAGAACGGAACTGACCAGGAATTGTGAATTCAATCAGACTAGTGGTGAGATACAATTAGGAATCTTATAATAATGCTAGATCTGAGCTGTAGCTGGTAGGAAATGAGACACATTAACTTGATCAGTAAATAAATAGTTAAATAAAAAGAGTGGGGCGGTGATACATAGATTTGCAGATGGAACAGGTGATGACAGGGGTGGTAGGGGAGGGGGTTAAGTTGTATAAGGAGGGAGGTTTAAGGGCTCGTTCTCAAACAACCCTATAGCGTTTGACAGGCGTTTGGGAAGCATTTTTAATGCTCCTCACATGCTCCCCAAACGCCCTATGCGCAGTTTTGAGGCATTTGATAGGTGTTTACCAAGCGTTAAAACACACCACAAATGCCTATAATGAAGTTAAATGGTATTAACGCTCCGCAAACACCTCGCAACCGCAGCTGCACTGCAAACGCTTGCCAGGCGTTTGAAGAGTGGCACCACAGACTTGAATGGGAGGCTTCAACTCCTCCTGACTGGACATGAGGTGCCAGTTTTGCCATGACGTAATGCTAATGCTTCAGTGTGAACAGCACTGTGTGCTGCCATGTGCAGAATTTTCATAGGCGTTTGAGAAGCGTTAAAAACGCTTCCCAAACACCTGTCTGATGCCTGCTGACAAAGCTAGTGTGAACGTAGCCTAAGAAAACAAAGAAACAAAGTTGCAATGAAATATAAACAGAAGGAAAATTGAAAGTTTCAAACTTGTCAGAAGAACAGGACGCAGGTAAGATTCACTCCCTTTCCACTTTCTAGTCAGTAGCCAAAATTGTAATTGATTGATCAATATTTCTGGCACTAACAGAACCCTGGAAATTGATCTCCATATTTTGGGCTTTTACAAATGTCAAGGAGCTTATAATCTAAGGCCAGAAACTCAGACATACACTAAACCCAATTAACATAACAGCATGTCTTTGGAGTGTTGCCAGAAACACACCCATGCAGAGAAAGCATGCAAACTCCAGACAGGTGCAGCCATGACTGGGATTAGAACCCATGAGCCAAGTGCTGTAAGTTCTGAGTTCTAACCACTAAGCCACCGTAGGAGGCAGAGTTTGAGCTGGAATGTAGAATAGTTACATGATTAAAGAGAATGAAGATATATAATTATATTGGGAAATTAGAACTAGACATTCAAATTATTTGAGATATAAGTGTGAAAATGTTTGACATTTGAAAATAAAATGTATGACATTCATTAGGAAATGCATTACTTGGCTGATCATTTTTTGGAGAAACAGCAACGACGACAAAAAAAAAATTATAATATAGGTGTGCTTTTTATTTTAAATTATAAGCATTCTCATATGCAAACAGATAAACGCCAACGGGACAAGGCCCGTGTTTGTGTGCCACCTAGCGAACATATCCAGCATTGCATCTAGAAATGTGCCCAATGTCATTAAGTATTTACTAAAAAAAAGAGTCTAGAAAATAGACTCTTTTTAATCAGCTTGCTTGGCACCTTTCTGAAGACTGACAGGTCTTGATTGATTGAATTGAGTCTGCCTGAATGTTCAGCGTCTGCTGGTAGACTCAATTCTTAGTAAATCAGGGCCTAAGAGTCCCTATGTCTCCTTCATTGTCAGTGTGTGAAACTAATGTGGAGCCATCCACCTGTGCATTGATTACAGAACTCTAAATTGAAGGACAATACCTGATCAGTATACACTGCCCAGAATTGAATGGTAATTGGCAAATTAAATTGTTGGTTCACAATGCTAGACGTACAGTCTGGATGCTACCATGCTCCAATGGCAAAAGCAGACAGCCTTTATATGTCTTTTGGACTTCAATTTACTCCCATTCCACAGGGCATAATAGGTGCACCTTCAACATTCCAAAGGTTAATCGAAAGAGTTTTGGATGATCTAGTACCCAGAGAATGCCTTGTGTACCTCAATGACATTGTCGTGTTTGGAGCTACACTAGAAAACCATAAAGAATGACACAATGATTATTACATCTGCTGAAAGAAGAGAAACTGAAATTGTCAGCAGACAAGTACAAGTTCTGCGGGTCATCAGTCCTATGTGGGTCACATAGCCAATGTTGAATCAGTGGTGAACTGGCCTAAGCCTCAGAGTATTACAGAGTTATTTCTCTCCTTCCTTTTCTGTGGATACTATTACAGATTTGTAGAAGTGGTCAATGCTCCTCATGACCTGTTGAAGACAAATGTGTGCAAGTCAAGGGAATAAAAAGAGGTCTCCCAAATGTTCCTTTGGGGACCCCAGGATTTCTGCATGTGAAGAGGCTTTCACTCAATTTAAGAAGAAGCTGACACAAACACAAATTGTAGCATATGCGGATGCCAAGAACAGATAATACAGAACAGATAATCTTAATAATAATAATCTTTTGACTTAGGTCTTAACCACAGCCAAACTGGATACAATTATCAATTCACTCTGAAGTACAAACCGGCCCAAAGAACACTGGAGCCAATGATCTATCCAGGCACCCAGAATTGGCTTCAGTTACCAAAGACAATGAATGGGAAGATATTCCTGATTCCAGCATTGTGGCTGTATGCTATGGCCGCAATAGTTGAAGATAGACTCCATAGGAGGGGGACCAGAGGCTGTGCCAGATATGTTCACCTACCCTGCAACATAGGGCTGTGTATGCCAAAGACCAAGAGATGTTGAGGAATACTCTACCTACCAAGTGTGGTCAGTTTCTAAAAGATTAAACGATTCCTCAGATGCTTAGATAGGAAAGCACTGCCAGACAAGGTTGCTCCAAAGTGGCACTTACAGAGTGCAGAGTGCAGACTTCGGACTTCGTGTGTATAGATTTTCTCCACATTGACAACGATTGAAGATAAATCGGAATTGTACTGGTGGTGACTGAGCACTTTACCCAATACGTCCAAGCTTTTCCTACCAAAGATCATAGGGTAGTTACAGGTGCAAGAGTGCTTTGGGAGATATATTTCATCCATTTCAGCCTACCCCACAGGTAGGCTCAGATCAGGGCAGAGATTTTGAGAGCAAGCTAATTAAAGAGTTACTTACCCCTTTTCACCCTGTTCTGACTAAACTGCGAGGCCATAAACTTTATCTCCAGCCATGTATACGACGTGGTGTTGAATTTATCCCTTACATCGGGCCAGACAGTTTAACTCAATGAATAAACTCACATGTTGAGGAAGTCAGATAAGGAAACCCATTTGAATGTTCGGTTTAATGCAGAATAATCATAGGTAGAAAAAAATTAATGTTGTAAGCCTCATGGAAAGATGCATTCAGGGAGACAGGATACAGTGGAATGATAACAGAGAGAGGCAGGGGGGAGGAATATACACAAGTACGGTGAGAGAAAGAGTTCAGCTTAGACAGGAGAAGACAGCTTAACCACTTGCCTACAGGGCACTTATACCCCCTTCCTGCCCAGGCCAGTTTTCAGCGCTGTCGCACTTTGAATGACAATTGAGCGCTCATGCAACACTGTACCCATATGAAATTTTTATCATTTTTTTTGAGACAAGATAGAGCTTTCTTTTTGTGGTATTTAATCACCTCTGGGTTTTTATTTTTTGCTAAACAAACCAAAAACTGAAAATTTTGAAAAAAAAAAACCTTTTTTTCTTAGTTTTTGTTATAATATTTTGTAAATAAGTGATTTTTCTCCTTCAATGATGTGTACTAATGAGCCTCCAGTGATGGGCACTGATAGGCTGCACTGATGAGGAGGCACTATTAGGTGGAACTGATGGGCATTGACAGGCATCACTGATGGGCACTGAAAGGCAGCACTCATATGGCACTGGTAGGCGGCACTGATAGGTGGCACTGATTGGCACTGTTAGGCGGCACTGATAGGCAGCACTGACGAGCACTGATAGGCGACACTGATGCGCACTAATAGGTTGCACTGACTGGCACTGATAGGCAGCACTGACTGGCACTGATAGGGTGACACTGACAGGCAGCTCAGATGGGCACTGATATGTGGCATTGATGTGCACTGGTAGGCACTGATATGTGGCATTGATGAGGCACTGATAGGCACTGAATATGTGGCACTGATGAGCAATGACAGCTGGCATTGATTGGCACTGACAGGTGGCACTGCTGGGGCTACACTGATCATCAGGGCACACTGATCATCAGTGCCCTGATGATCAGTGTACATGTCCCCTCTGAGGAATGCCGATTACCGGCTCTCCTCTCCTCTCGGGCTGTCAGTGTGACAGCTCGTGAGGAAAGAAATGCTGATAACCGGAATTTCCCTATTTACATGCGATCAGCTGTGATTGGACACAGCTGATCACATGACCGAGCCGACATCTTCAGCTCTTTCCTTTGATCAGTGATCCGCTGTGTCCGAGGGACACAGCGCACCACCGATCGCCACGCTGCGCACTCCCGGAGCCGTGCATGCGCGGTTAGAGTGGGAGGATGTTATCTGACATCCTCCCAGATCGAGAGAGCCACTTTGCGCTCGTCATTACCTTATATGGTGGGTGGGAGGCAGTTAAAGACACAGAGCAATGATAAACAAGTGATGGTCACAGAGAAATAATAATAAATCAAATAGTGTAACACAATACACCCTGAATGCAATGCTCTCCCTGGGAGATTCAACAGGATTTGGCTAGATATGCTAGGTACCCTACAGGCTGATGATAAATGTACCTAGAGTTGCAGGGTTGAAGCCATAGTCTATGCTTATAACATCACCAAGAATGGGAGTACAGGATTGTCCCCCTATTTCCTGATGTTCAGGAGGGAGGCTAGATTGCCCATTAACCTCTTGCTAGGAGTCTTAACTGATGGTATTAGTCATGAAAGTCATTACCAATATATGGCTAGTCTAAAAGATATCCTCCAGTCTGCTTAAATTTAGCTGAAGAATATGCAGCTAAAATAAACAAAGGGTACAAAAGAAGATTCAATCTTCTGTGCGCTACAAAGATCTGAAACCAGGTGACCGAGTCTTGCTACAAAACTTGGGAGCATCTGCAAAGCAATAGCTGGCTGACAGATGGTGGATCAAGATTTTTTACAGTGGTGAGCATATTTCCTGGGATTCCAGTTGTCACGGTCCACCTCACACGCACACGCCCACAGCGACTAGCTAACCGAGGCTTGCCACCACCCAACAGTTTATCCGCAGAACTGTCTGTTGGGATACCACACACACACAGATCTCCGTCTGGCAGACCTGTCACCCTTACAATCTGCACACAATCTGCCAACACACAGTGCAATTGCATACAGATAGGCAATGAACTTGACCGAGCATTTAAAGACACTAAAATACAATACAATACAATCTCTCCGGAGATATGAGCCCGCTTAAGTACACAGAAGTCACTTATTAATTTTATGATTTAATATCCCGAAAGTGGGCAGTGCATAAAATATGTACAAAGTATAAAAAGTTACAGAAAATACAAAAAATACAAGAAGACACATAATTGACTATTCACTATAAAAGGGAAATAAAACAGAAATAAAACTTTTCCAAGATTTATCCTGCGACTCGAGCAAGTCAGAGAAAGTCCGCGATCCGTCAGTCAAATAGAACGGGCTCCATACGAATCACAACGTCCATACATCAAGTCCTCAATTTATGGTAATATGGACGTGGGCTGGACATGAGTCCTTGGCCAATCAACCCTTGGCCCACAGGACGTTCTGGGTGCTGAAATGCCCAAAGTCGATTGGACCAGGAACGGTTTGAATCACCAAGTCAGGGATTGAATTTCCGACACCAGCGCATCAGTCCGATCGCGACAGTACCAATCACTGTTCAGCTGTCGCAGGCCACAAATACGGTTTTTACATGCAGATGTAGCCATCAGAGGGCCCAATTAGAAGGAAGTATTTTCATCTCTCTGCAACTAATATTTTAGCTTTTATGAGAGATGAAATCTATTCCTTTGATCTGTGATATACTTTAAAGCTCCCCAGACACATCAGAGCCCCCCTGGTGTCATGAATCCGAAACGTCTGTGTTCCTCTTTTAAACTTCAGGAAGGTGGCAAAGTCTGATAATAGATAAATCTTATTGGCACCCAGGTGTCACCTCCTTCCAGAGGAAGCTCTGTCCCTTCAGATGCGAATTGGTGACCATCTGTCTCTAACTGAACTCTGAACACATCTTATATTACCATGGAATGAGCTAAACCTAGACTGTCAAATTTTCTACAGATCACATCTCGACTACTCAAATTTTTATATTTATGTCACATCTCAGCTACTCAAATCTTACATGTACGTTACATCTCCCTCCTTCTAGATGACGCATATCTGAGCCTAAATGGGTCGGCTAACGCGTCTGCCAGGAAGGTTCCCTAGGTTGGGGGGAGGAGTTCTCCCAACCAACGCTTGACACCGCTGACACTTCAGCTTGTCCCCCTGCAGATGGGAGAGAGCTACTGTACAGCTGCCCCCCCCCCCCCATGGATCCCCCTGCGGATCCACGTCATCCACTGGCCACCAACTAACTACTGGAAGGGTACAGGCAAACCTGTCATTGTGTGCAGTCATCATTTTCAGCCACTGGCCATGGTCATCTGGTGGTTCTCTATCAGCTGCAACACCAAGATGCTTGAGTCTGGTATAAGGTCATTTGCGGGTGATCTGGACCTGGTTCCATGGCTTGGCTACCAGGGCCTCCACCCTCTGACCTGTCTCCCACACTTCTGCTCCTTCTGCTTCAGCCAGAGACTGGTCAGCACAACCCCTGAGTTCTTATGGGCTGACATCAAACCTATCAGCCTGCAAGAATGCAGGTGTCAGGGATGTGGGTGTGACCAGAAGTGTGTGGACTGACACAGGGAAACGTAGGCTTCAGATATAGTAAATAATATAATTTATTAAGACTAACAATACAAACGCAGTGCAAAACTAAACATAACACAGTGCAAACAAACTGAACCAAACCTCCAACAGATAACAAACATACGATACAAGAGTAGTCAGGCAGGCAGGGTCGGTAGCAAACGGGCAAACGGAGTACCAGGAGCAGGCGGGAGAGTGGTCAGGACTAGCCGAGGTCAGTACAGGCAGAGTTCAGGCAGCGTCAGGACAGCAGAAACAGGATCAGAAAATCAGGGCCAAGCAAACAGTACAACAAGGCACAGACTGCAGGTCTGGCCATCCCTTAAATACACCACCTGCAATCAGCCCCAGGTAATGGCTAATTGCCGAAGTGAGCCTCTGGTTGTTGAAAGCACCCGCTGGCCAGCCCTGGTACTGCAGCCCACAAGGCAGGTGAGTCCCACACTATTGGCAAGTCCATTCCTGACAGCAGGGTTGTCAGATACAGTCTCTGAGAAAGCAGATTCCGAGGGGTCAGTGTTCCCCCATCATCCTGTGATCCTTCCTTTGCTGTGCACAGCAATGAATCCTCAATCATGATACTCATAGCTATGGGGACAATGGATAAATCCACAGAAGACTTTATTCCACCAGGGGTCATCCTCTGACCCATGCTACACTCTGTCCTCCTTAGCAGAACATCTGCCAGCACAACACCTGAGTTCCTCTGAGCCAACCTCAAACCTATCAGCCTGGAAGTACTCAGTGATGTCAGCTGCAGTTGCTGAGGTGGAATACACTGATTGGGCTGAATTTGCCCCAACATCCTGCTGACTTCCCTCTGCAACACACAGAAATGAGTCTGCACTGGCAGCACTCACGACTGTGGTGACAAAGATACAGGAGGAAGGATTTCACTAGAGGTTGTCCTCTGGGTCACACACTTCTACCCCGTCCTCAGCAGAGCGTCTGTTGGCACACCTGAGTTCCTCTGAGCTGGCATCAAATGTAACAGCCTCTGGAAACTCAGTGCCACCAGCCACAGCTACTGAGGGAGTAGAGTCAGCTTGGGTCAGATTTAAACCCTCACCCTGTGGTCCCTTCTCTGTGCTCCACAGCCCAGGATCCAAAATGGCATTACTGGTATCTGTGGTGACAGGGGAGCAAACACAAGAAAAAACTTCATCCCACAAGAGGATAGAGGCACACAACACTGGTCTTTACCAGGACTTACTGAAACACAATGTGCCTTTTCACCGAGAACTTCAGAAGAACATCCTGTTTCTTTACATATGGGTACAAAACCAAATTCCTTTTGCCCATACAACCTCATCCTGCCATTCACCGCTGGCGGTCCTTCAGCCAGACCCCTGAGATCCTCTGGGCTGCCATCAATTTTCACGGCCGCAGGGGACCTAGAGCTATCTGCCACAAGTGCCAGGTGAACAGCAGTCTGAGGAGACCTTAGGCCCTCTGGGCCAGGTTCACAAGGGTCCAACTCAGCTAGATTGGGCCCTTCCACAGACAGTTCCTCTGTAGCAGTGGGCAATGACTGGTCCAGGGCCAACTGGTGGGCACCCTGAGTCACCACTGCAGCAGAGGGAAGGTCTGCCTTGCACATGTCATTACATTTGGCATCACATAACACATTGTGGGTTGCAGAGTCCTCTGTGACTTTAAACTCTTCTCCAGGCTTTGACTCCAGAGAGCCAATGGAGCCAGGCCCTGGTACACAGTCATTCACCCCCTGACTCTTCCCAGAATTCCCGGTGTGCACTTAATCACTCAACAGTATGTTACGTAAATCCGAAGCCTCAGCTGGAAATGTAGACTTCAGGGTGTTGACTTTGACTGACTTGTTCTGGGTTACCAACTGCCCCAGGTACTGACCCGATAGTATGTTAGTGGTATCTGCTATTCCCACTTCTCTCACTTTGCTTCTGGATACTTGGGGCAAAGCAACACAAGCTGTATATAGTACAGGGGTGACGCCTCCAACCCCTATGATAACTGTGGCTTTCTTTGGGACCACATCCTCATGACTCCTCAATCCTGGAAGAGCTAGGACATCCTTGGGTCCCTTATCTCGGATTCCAACTGAAACATTGTTGCCTGCGGTAACTGGCTGCAGGCTATCCACATGGCCTCCTTCATTAGTGGGATCTGTTCTGCCCACTTCTTTCACTTGACTTCCAGATTCCTGGTTCAAAGAACCATTCCTGGTGACGCATGTCCGGACACCGCGGCCATATTGGATTCCCCAGTGCATGCAGATTTACCCATAGGTTGTGGTAAAAACGCTTGTTAACCAAGAGGACTATGTGAGTGTAACTATTTGTGGTGTTTTACCCTTTCTTAATAAATATA